TCTTATTATCTTAATAAACTTTTTAAAAATAGAAAATATAAATAAATATTTAATTTAAATAATATATTTTTATATTAAAAAATATAAGCCTAGCTCTTTTAAAACATTTTTAAGTATTTCTTTTTTAGTTACTTTAAAAAAAACGAAAAATAAATACTCTCTCTTGTTACTATATTAAAATCTAAACTTTTAATATTCTTTTTTTAATAAGCTGCTATATATGGGTTATTTATTATTAAGTAAGGCTAGTAAAGACGGGGTGTGTTTAGAAGTGACTCCGGCTACTTGGTACTAAAATAATAGCAATGGTTCTGCCAAAATGAAAATGCCGGCGTGGGGGATTATTCACCATAGATGGTTTTCCGTTACCCGCCATTCACACCGAGACTAAGTCGCATTGCATGTCGATCTCATGCTCACATGCACCCACCGCATTTTTGAACCTCGCTAACGCTAGATTTGGTTGGTGGAAGGCACATTACTCAATCACATGTTGTGGATTCTGTGCATATCTCAGCTTGGATGAAGAAGAAAGCTCAGATGGCTTTCGAGGACCGATTTCAGAGCTTAGTCAGCATCACTTCGAACAAGAATAGTAGAGATTAGCTCTGGCCGATTCAGAAATGCCTACCGCTGAGAAAAGTCGGTAAAATTCGGACGAGCTGCATGAACTCGATGTGGAAGTCTTTTTGATGCACGAGAAACCCTGGGAAAGGTCGGAAAGCCATTATCCATCTTTGGAAGTTTCATAAGTGAGTACATTCAACTCCCCTGCGGTAGGCGTATCATTTGAAAGTTATGGCTGTCGTGGGACCCATAGGTTCTGTCGGATTCTATCAAGCAGCATGTCAAATGCAGTCTTGAGTTGAAGTTTCATCTTTCGTTCATAAGCTATTAAGCCTGTATGTAAAATGGTGTGCAACATGACCAAGCTGCGGTATGCACGTCAAGAAGATGGTGGTGATCGCAATACTCGCAGGGAACTGGTGGGGAAGTCTGCGAATCTTGGACTGATAGCTGACGTTTACCCCTATGCTGCCCAAGACGTAAGAGGCGGCACCTATCAGCGAGCGGTGATGCGATGAAGTTAGCCTCCTTGAATGGAAAGTCTTACTTACCGCGAAACAGTCTCACTCTGGAGTCTGGTCTACTAGTGCAAGTGCAGTAAGAGTGTAAGTCAAAATCTATGCTGAGTAACGAAATAGAGAACCACTGGAGCTTGTGGCAAGCCTTGACAACCAGCTGGCCCTTGATTGGTCGTAAGGCAGCGTGCGATGGGCATTAACAAGCATGAAGTCACTTGAATCTGCCGAAGGATAATGGAGCTGATATTCCTCAGGAAGCTTTCTAGTGAAGCAGCGAGTATCCCAGTCTCGCCGACAGCTAATAGAGTGGACTGGTGATGCAGGCAATTTATTGCCGAGTCAGCTGCTCTGGCTCGGGGAACGACTCTGAATATCGTACACAAAGACGAGTTCAGATGGTCCTCGTCGGAGAATTTGATCAGGGTTGCCTCGAATTCTATGCCAGCCGCTTCCAGGCCCTGTCGAGCCGCGCACATCAGGATGGTCGGCGGTGCCAACAACCGGTCTCCGCCACTGGACTGTGCATCCTGACACCCACCTCATTGGTTGAATCCTTGACAAAAATTGCCTTTTTGAAGAGGCAGATAGCATAATAGCATAATAGACTTCGGGCAACACGAACTGCTCATGCTAGGTATCTTCGAAGAACGAACTGTTGGAGACGGAGCACCGGAATGACGCGATCCATTGGGGAAGGTCAAAATCAGTAGGCAGAGTGGGAAGAAACTGGTCAATCAACGGACCGTAGCTTTCGAAGGTATGCAGATACGACTACTTAAAGGATGTTCTCCTCGACCTTTATCAATTGATCTATCTCCATATTCATCATCATCACTCATCTTTCATCCTTGGTCTTTCCTCGACCTAATACCTCTTAATTGCTTGTAAGACGGTCATCAACAACATATACTTATATACCGAAAGAAGATAACCCCCGAGAAACCTTGGTTTAGTTATACTGTCAGGTACACAATGCGCTTCTCCAAGTCTCTTATCATCATGGTGGCAGCGACCATGGGTGCGAATGGCGCGCCATCTAGCATCGACTCACGCGAGCAAAGGTACGTGGCGATCATAAACTCGTTGACCTAGGATATCAAGCTAATATGACGTAGCGCTATTATTCAGCCAGCCCTTGTGACTCGACAGGCTCCTCCAGCTGTTCCAGCTGCTGCTCCTCCTGCTTCTGCTCCCGTCACGCAGGCAGAAGGCGACAAGAAGGGGGAAGACAAGAAGAAGGGCGATGGCGAGGGAGACCGCAATGGGGCGGACCGTGACGGAGACCGTAACGGTGGTGACCGTGGCGGACGTGACGGAGATCGCGACGGCGACCGAGACTGCCGTGCAGAAGATCGTGGGCGTGACAGAGACGGAAGATCGTGTTGTGTGCGAGGAGGACGTGGAGGAGGGCGCGATGGTGATCGCGAGGGCGATCGTAAGGTGGCTCGCGAGGACCGCAATGGAGATCGTAACGGAGATCGCGATGGTGACCGCAGCGGCGGTGATCGAGGTGGACGGGATGGTGACCGCAATGGTGACCGTGAGTGCTTCCGGGATGGTGATCGCGGTGGTCGCGGTGGCGATGGTGAGAGACGTCCTCCTCCTCCTCCCCCGGCCGGTCCTCCGGGCTTCCCCGCTCCGTTCCCCGCCCCGGTCCAACCCCGCCCCGGTTTCCCCGGCGCCTACCCCCCTGGCTTCCCTGGCGCGTTCCCTCCTGGACCTCCTCCTCGTGGCCCTGATGGAGATCGAGATGAGGACAAGAAAAAGCCTGCCGAGGACAAGAAGCCTATCCCAGCATAAATCATTATTCCCCCTGATTGTCGACTGACTGGTTGTACTCACTTCCGGTTTAAGGGTATTTTGATTCTTGAAGGAAGATGTTGACGGTGCAGTACAAGGTCCCACCCATTGAGTGCAAACTCAATGTACAACAGGGTGCGATTGGAATTGAAGAATACGAAGACAATAGTTAATCATTGTTTAGTTGTTTAGTTTAGTATGAAATACGATGCGCGCAAGCTGATCACATATAAAGTCTGCTTTAGTTACTTTAACTAATCAAACCCTTGTCCAGACATGCTTGCAACGTCGGATACACCAAAGTCGAGTCTCGTGGTGCTTCAATCTGTTCACATGGGGAAAGAAGTTTCTATTCGGAGGTTCTGAAGAAGAGGAGGAGGACCTAGGTGGCAGGTTTTACACGAGACGTATTGCTCCCAGTTATTCTTTAGGTAAATAGTAAAAATCATCGAATTGCTGCCGGATTGTTGAGGGCGACAAATGATCTGATAAAGTACAGCCTGGCTCCATCAACGAATGGCGGCCGGTAGCGTCATGCATAACCATAGTCTAGTCCTCCCGCCTGAGGGGAAAGAAACCCCAAAAAACTGCCCATCGAGACAAAAGGGCAAGTCGTTCATCTTGAATCTGAGTCAGTTAGAGTCAGAGCCGGCAAGCGTTACGGTGGGTAGTAAGTAAACACACACAAGAGGGGGTTTGATAAGGAACCAACATCACACACTCCCATCGGTATAGAAATGATATTCTGGGTCGCAAGGTTTGTACATGCCCCTCAGCACGTGTGGAGCTATAATATGAACAAGAATATAACAGCCATCATCCACCGTAACCCTCACTTCCTTCCGTATTTAAGGATATACCTAGACAGAAGGCCAGCCGCCGGACCACGAGATGACATTCCAGCCAAATAGAGTTTGAGAATCGGCATACCCAACGTCGGTGTTCACTAAAATAGTTAGACTTGATAGCGCATTGAAGCCAGAATTGACTACTCACTATAGTGATAGTAGAGGACCGCACCACGCTTGGGGTCAACCAAGACGCCTTGGCCACCGGGAGCATAGATTTTGTTATGAGATGGAAGAAGAAGGGTGCCACCGCCGGCCAGGCAGCTCTTGCCGCTCTTGTCGGTGTAGGGGCCATTGACAGAAGAGGCACGACAAACGAAAATCTTATACTCGTTTCCGGGGGTCGGGCGGTTAGCGTCGAGACCGCAGCAGGAGCCTGAGCTGAAGAAGGCCCAGAAGGTGCCGCTGCGCTCGTAGACGAAGGCACCCTCGACAGGCTGAGGGGCAGTGGTGTTCAGAATGATGTTGTATGGATTACCGTTGGCTTTGGTTGCAGCCGCATTCAGAGGCACTTGGAAAATGTCCTGCCAAAAGGAGCCAAAATTCAGGAAGTAGTTGCTACCGGACTTGACGAGCTGAGCATCGATGGCATTGTAGCGGCTGCCGGCTGAAGAAGCGACCCCGGTGGCGCCATGATCAGTCCAGGAGCCAAACTCCATGGTGGTGGAGGTAGCATAACCGATGGCCGAGTTTTGAACGCCGAAAGAGGAGACGGTGTAGTACAGAATGTACTGATCGCCAACTTTGTTCACATCAGGAGCCTATCCGAGACAAGATCATGAGTGTGTGCTCTAAAGGGCCGACAGTTTTTCCAGTCTCGTCGATTCTGACCCCGTTTATTGATGGCTAGACGGAAGATCGAACCCTTCAACCGGAAGGCCGAGAAAAGTGAAGGTACGAAAGGGAGACAAGGAAGGCTGGACCAGACATACCCAGAGATCATCATTGCCCTTGAGATTGATCTTGCTACCCGATGGCAAGGCAGCTCCTTGGTAGGTCCAGGGGCCTACCAAATCGGGAGCCTTCCAAATACCGATCTTGCTGCCAGTTTCGAAACGAAAGTAGGTGCCATCATCGCGACGGACAACGGAAGGGTCGTGACTCCAGCACTGGCCGGAGCAGGCTCCCGGATTACCGTAAGCCTGAACGGTGGCGCTCAGCAGCGCAGCTGCGAGTGAAAAGATGGAACCGAAGCGCATGATAGAGACCAAATTGTTCGACACAGGCAGAGGAACAGTTGACGCTATGCACTGCTGGAAGAGAGTGACTAGCAGAGAGATAGCTTGGGATTGCTTGAAGAGAAGAGGTTCGCGAGGAACATAATAAGAGAAACTTTAAAGTAGGACGGGAACATGGAACCGGTTGCCATCTCTGGAAGGAACCGAGATCTCGCCATCCGAACTCCATCACGGAGGGTGATACCGGTACACGATAGTGTACATCGTTCCAGGCTGGGGGAGCTCGACTGGCCCTGGGTAATAATGTGCCCTTCGGCTTGATTGGCGGAATTCGAGCTCGCTGTCTGCGGCAGGCCCTTGTGGGCGGCGTGAAGATAAAGACGGGCAATATACTTGGAGCAGAGCCTAGGATTGACCCGGCCAAAGAGATGAAGGGGTGGTTGAAGGTGGTGCGGTGGACCGATACCTATTGTATGGCCAGACGGCGTCTTCGGCGGGCTGACCATTGACTTAAGTCACCAACAAGCTGCCTACGAACATACGAAGTGTCCGTATCTGATGGGATCGGGGCAAATAAGCAACGAGGGATGGGCAAATGAAAGGATAATTAGGCTATGACGGCTTTAAGCGAGTAAGAAACTGCCATGCGTGCCGTCGTCTGTGGGTAGCAAAGTTCAGATTAACGGAAACCTTGGAGAGTGGGAAGACCGTAAACGAGCTGGCCAGACAAGGTACAGTAGTGTATTGGTTTGTCGAAAACTGGCTCTCCGAATGGTGCGCATGAGAGGATGAGACCGGTTGACAAGGGAATTCCGAGTCTTGAAGGGTAAATTTGGGGCTGGTGAGTGCCGGCCGTATGCAGCCTGCAACCCTCTGCATGAGAAGGGCCGTCTAAAGAGCAGACGAACCCCGCGATTCAAGTCCCGTCACGATGGAACTCGCGCGGAATCTTTCCCCTATTGTGTTCAAGTAACTGTACAGATAGGCTCTATGCGTCGAAGAGTCTATCACTGCAGAGCATCCAACCATCCATAGACTGTGTTCGTGAACAGATAGACGACCGCAACAAGCGCTCACATCAAACGGAAGTATCCGCATCGAAGGAGAGATTGATCGTGATGAAATCACCGGAAATTGGAAGGGTTGAACTCTTGTGCATTGAAACTCCTCCAAGAAGCCTCATTACCCTTGCGATGGTTTGTTGTCCGAAGTTCTCTGACCAAGACCTTGTCTTTATGCAGGGATAAGACGGAATTCGCCATCGTCAAGCAAATGGGTGAAGAAAATAGGGGAGTTCTGCCCGCCATGGTGGCATTACATCTGGAGCCGAAGGGGGTCCGAAGCGAGCGGCCCAGAGAAAAGGGGGCTTGGATTGTGCCCAAGTCTCCAGGTTCAGGTCGCCTACCTCCCTTGTATTGTTTTCTTTTTATTTCGCACTCCCCTTTCATCCTAGGTCTGGTCGTCGTACGCAGTATGTGCCTGTGTCAGAACTAGCTTCATTTTGGGGCTTGATATCCGTGTGCAACGATGCATCCATATCCATATCCATATCCATATCGAGAGGCTTAAGCTGTATTCGTAGACTGTACGCATACCTATTCGCCGTCTGCTCCATGTTTCGGTTGTTCGTCCGGATCAACGCGATCAACACGATCAGCGGTGTCCCTGTGGGTGAGGGAAACAACGTGTTTGCCGTGCTCGGCAGAAAAACCTACGTACTATGTATGTTATTCAGTGGAGTTTGGTAACGTGATGGGCAGAACCCCAGTTCACACGGGCCATGGCAGGGAGTAAGAAAGTCTCCGTTGGCCGTCACCTTGGCCTTTGTCGGAGGCTCGGAGGCTCGGAGGCTGGGACCAATCAGCCCCGATCTACTCCGTAGAGTCAGATTATCAAGAGCAAAAAACCAATATCCGTACGGTGTCCTCATGATAAATTTAAGCGGCTACAAAGAAGGCAACTGACTTTGGCTTCCAGGCGATGAGAGCCTACTTGACCACACATGAAGGCGACTTGTGGCTAACCTTCGGGAATGGTATCGATGTGTTGATCAATCATTGATACCGACCACCTCATCGTCGGGCTTTGGCATTCAGCTTGGACTCGGAGGATCGGGAAATAGTTTGGCGTTGTGAATTTTGGCTCATGGGTGGGCGAAACTGTGGGCGACGATTGGGAATAACGTGGACACCGCGTGGGTTTAGAGGAGGGAAATATTCCGAGCAGCGTCTCCCATAAGATGATGGCTCCACTCCTTGTCAATAGTGTACGGGGTACGGATACGGGATACATATATGGTACGAGTATCTGTGTTATGGTGTTCATAACTTCATACCCATTTTCAACAAAAGCAGCATCACGCTGAAGCCGTCTTGAGCGCCGTGCGCGGGCCCGCCCGCTCCCTTTTTCACTAAATCTTCGCCTTAATGAACGGACAAAAAAAAGGGAGGGGAGGAACCGGATCTATTTACTCCGTAAAGGGGACATTCGGGTGTCAGAACCGGAGAGCTCAAGCGGACTGCGGTGGATTGTCCCGCTCAATCGGCGGACAGCCCGAGGCTGTCCATTCTAGATGTCATCAGCCATTCCCGAATCACCCAGATTTTGCGGCGTGTCAGCCGGAGCTCGACGGACAAAGGGCCGGTGTCTAGCCACCATTGTCCATGTCGGCTCTCCTTCGTGTTGGCCCCAGCCAACACATCCATCTCGAAGCTGCGATGTCACGGCCGCCAAGGGATCATCACTGCGTAGTGGCGGCCATTTCATCATGCGTTCACATCTCCGATCTGTACGTATATTAGGTTGGTCCCTTTGCGAGCCAACTGAGCCTGCTACGGACATGGCTTTGAGGGATACTTATGCCGTCAAAAACCACAGCTCCCACTCGAGGGCTGACTCTTGACCCCTCCAGTTCGGACCCTACATGTGTGGATGGTTCAGAGCTAGAGGGCGTGGCTTGGCTGATTAAGAAAGTGTATGGCAACGAGCTTCTTGTTACGGGCTTACCGGGGCCCTGCTGCCTCGTTGGTCTGACGGATCCCTGGCTGCAGTAGGCTTCGAATGCTCGCACTCTGGATAGCCGCAAAGAAAAAAAAAAAGGGGGGGGGGGGCTTCATGGCGTTGCAGGAATGTGATGGGGATGCAGCCTGGCGGAGGTTACAGTTTGAGGCACGCCCGGTGGTTTAATCCTCATGTTCGTACGAATATGGCGTCGCAATCACAGGTTCATAGTGGTTTTGATTCTGTATCTGTACCAAGTTCTATTGTAGCTTGACTGCGCGTGCAGCCTTGCAAAATGCACATGCACCAGTGCCACCAGTCATCAAGCTGTATGTTGAAAGACATGTAGGTCAGGAACGCGTAAGTCGTGGCACAAACTAAACTCTACACATAATAATCCTACTCGCCTACCTACCAGGTGAGAAGTGTCACGGCTCACCTGCGAGCAGGGTCCACACGCCGGACCCACTGGTTCGAGGTCAGGGCGGAGGGGGCAGGGCTGCTACCGTCGATGGATGCCATGTGGCCATGGCTGATCGGCAAAGAGTCACGGACGCACGCAGTAGTTTGTTAGTTTAGGGTCCAAGACTCCAAGGGGCCCAGGGCCCAGGGGAGGAAGGGGGCGGGGGGAGAGGAGGGGAGGGACTTGGGACATGAGGAACCCGGCGCTCTGGATCTGTTACGTTACCAAGAGCCGTCAAAACTAACATCTGCAAACTCATCGTGTACCCATATCTTCAAGCCTGCTTCTCACCGTCTCTCTAGACTCAAAGTTCATTCAATTATCAGTGTCAGTCCCGCTTCTCCGGACTTCTCGCCAGGCGATCAACTACCTCTTACACTAGCTATATTAACTTCAGTATATTTTCTGTATTCGTATAACACCGTTGTAGTATGAACCATACTCTGTGCACAGCTGGTATCGGCGACATGCACTCCTTCTTCCCCCATTGTAAAATCGCTGTTTCCAATGGCTCCTACGCCATATCTATCGGTTATCCATGATCCTGGGGGCTTCAACTTTTGGCAATCCTTTGAAACTAATTCCGCTCGGACTTGTTCCTGGCACAATCAAACCAGGAGCTATATGCTGTACGTTAGGGTGAATAGTCTGACGGAATACGCCCGCCGCTTTCGCGCGACGGCGTTTAGAGGGTGATTTGGGCTTGCCTTGTTAGTGCTGACCAGGACGTGCCGCCCATCTCATGATGGCTGGGACGAAAGCACGGCACAAAGAAACGTTCATCGGGAGGAGTAGACTTTCAAGAAGTCCAGGAGCCACTTGATCAACTATGTTGAGTTAACTTTGGGATTTCCAGCTGTCTAACCTTTGCTGGCCTTCCACGGTAAACAATAGGGGTGACAGCCTGACCGGGTCCTGCGAACTGGTGACGACAGGGTTTCCGGCCGAGAGTTGGGGTGCAGCTCACAAACTCCCACATGGTGAGATGCTGTAGTGCAGCTGACACGGAGGCTCCAACCCTGAATGATGCTACTTTGGGAGCGTCGTCTCGCAGACCTTTGGTTCCATCTCGCCCTTGTCAAGTAATACATAATGCAAGAGATGCGACCCTTGAGAACCTTAGGCGATATCGAGAGGACGTCTGCGCCTTGCGTCCAATAGACAGCGGGCTGCGCCAGTCTCCCCTGGATGGATGGAGGCATCCACACATGTTCAACTGGCATGGCAAGCTGGGAGAGGGGCTGGTAGGCTACCTATCTGATGTTGCGTTTGTACTCCGTACGGATAGAACATGAAGACTGGTACACAACCAACCCAACCGAGGCGAACCGCGAACATTGGGCCAAGTTCCTGAATTGCGTCCGGCAGCTTCTAGATGCGGACAAAGAAGCGATGCAGTGTGAAATTTGACATGGGGAATGCCATTAGTTGTCGTGGCTGTCTATACCTACGACCTACTCCGTACACTACAGGCTACCAGTCTCTGGACCTTGAGGGACTGAGCATCACATATATCAAGTCAATCTCTAGCCTTGGGAAGCTGAGCAGTCACAGGTTTCCACGGTTCATATCAGGACGCTGAGTAGCGATCGCGCGCCTTGGAGATTCGGACCAAGTACGGATAGTTGTCCTTATCCGTATGTACTACGTACCCCATACACCCAAGATGAATACCTAGCATGACGGCCAAATTTGCCTGCATTAGTGCAATTGCGACTGCAAGGGGCATGTCCTTTGTGATCGCTGATAAGGGGCCAAGGGCGTCGGGCTTGCAACGGTTTCTGTTAATGAGGACCTTCTCTGCAGCGTTGGTACTTTTGACTTTTTCTGTGTTTTCATTTCTTTTATTTCCGCACAAGATGGGAAAAGGCGGTTGAAGAATGAGGCATAGCGCGTGTGGAAATACAACCTGGAAACAGCAGGCCAAGCTTGCGTAGTGGTACATAGGTATCCGTATATAGAGGGGATTTACCCCTAGATTGTGACGCTCGTTGCCATTCTCACTAGCCCTCTTGTGTTTGCTATTTGCCTGCATGGGTGTCG